TCACAGCCAGATCCTGTGGTTTTGTTTTCTTGCTTCTCCGTTGTATTGTCCTCAGTTAATTAGAGAATATGTTGGAGATAAAAACATATTGCTAGTTCAACAATGCTTCATCCACCAAATCTTTAACCAAAATTTAAATCTAAAATTTAAAGCTAGCTGGTACCATTCGCAAGCAAGCTTTACTGTATATAGTCTTCAATCTTTAGTAAGAGCTAATATTAACTAATAAATTATATTGTTGGAAATAGATTTTAGTTATTTTTAAGAAAAACTTTTTTTTTAAAAAAAATTTAATGTTCTTTATTATATATTATAAAGTAATATATTAAATCTTATTCCAATTGACCTAACTAATTCTATATCCAGTAAGATTTCAATATGATTGGTATATTGATAATTATTTTTATTTTATTCAATAATTTATAAGTAAAATCTTAATTAATTTTAAAAATTTTAATTTTTAAATATTACTAAAAAATCAATTTCAATTACAAATTTTTAGAAAAAAAGAACAGAACTTTAATTATTTCTTCTTCTTCTTCTTCTATCATTTTTCTTGAAGTTTGGACAACAAATCTTTGGAACATACAAAGTTTCCAAAATTCTATAATAGAGTATGAGTAATGTAAAAATAAGTTTGATAAATTTAAAATAATATTTAATTCAGGTATATATATAACAAATATTTATTTATTAATTTTTAACTGAAAAAATTATTCACGTACAACACACGTGGTGCATTGCTGGTTAAAAAGCAAGTGACAAAATACATGTAAAAGCTTTAAATTAGTTTCATGAAATAAATAATTGCATAACATGTAGTTTTATCTATTTTATGGAATAAATAATAACAAAAACAATACAAGGGAAACAAAACAAAAAAAAAGATAATAGTATGTGAGAGAGAGAGAGAGAGAGAGAGAGAGAGAGTATAAGATAAATTGAGAAATGAGAGTCTTTGGGTTTGTAAAATGAGTGAAAGTCTAATTAGGACCATCGGATCAAGCAATCTGAACCGCGAAAAGTTTAAGATAAATAATCTAACTACTTTATTTTATAGATAGAGAAAAAATAGGAGGAAAGACAAATTTATTGTCAAAAATGACAAAACATAAAACGATAAAAATAAAGAGTCATGTTGAAGTAGTGTGTAAAAATATACTTTCTATTATAACTTTGTACTAAAGATATCCTCTATTTTAGAAAAAATTGAGAGCACTATTGGAAAATGTTCTTACTATTAGTTTAAGGTTTTTCTTTATTATTTTATTGATTATTTGATTAGATTTTTTTAATTGATATTTTTTTTTATGTTACACTGTCCTTTCAGATATAAGACCCAATTTTTGGGTTCATGGTAGAATAGAAGGGAGGAGCTTTTCCAATTCACTCCTTCATCAGCCCCAAGATTTTGGCTACAAAATGGAGGATTTAAATGCCCGAACTCAACTTCTTAGAGAAATGCTGGAGGGTTTTTGCGGCAGGAAAATAAGAGAAAATATCTTCGGATTCTTTCCTCCATCGGGGTAATATTCATGGGTCCCTAGACATGGATTCCTTTGGCCTAAATCACTCTACCAGATTTGCATGTATTCGGATCTTATGTCATTTCGATTTCAGTGTAATTAGAATGAATAATGTGTAAGGTTCTAAGACCTGTTGGTTATGATTTTAAATTCTGATTTTTTAAATAAAATTTCCCTCGCTAAGTCGAGGTTTAATTTTTTTTAAAAGGGTATCATCTTTTTTGCGGTTGTTTTTAGTGTTATATAGGAATTTCATTCATAGTGTCTACTTAGATTTTGTAATTTTTTGTATTATGCAATGCCTACAAGCATGACTAATTGTTTGTGATTTTTTTTATCTTTTATGTAGTGCCTTTAGATACGAGTAATTACTAGTATTACAATAAAAAAAATGAATTCTCAATTTATTATATAGAATAATAATTAAAATTGGACCAGATTAAGATTAACAGTAAGTCTATTAACATTTACCCTATGTGAGACATGGCCCAAATTAGCCAATTGTATGACAAGGAGGACTGAGCCCAAAGGTTCCAATGCCTCAAAATGACTCTGGCAAAAGTAAAGGGAAAAGCCCAAAGGTTCTCTACCTTAGAAAGGAAGATTTTTAGAGAACCCTATACTCTGATGAGCTACTTAAGAATTCAGTTAAACATACAGAAATATCAATACAGATTTAAGCGTGGCATTGCTCGTCACAATAACATTTTTTCTATTTAACCGATTTAAAGGTTAACTAAGTACACCACAACCACAACCACCACCACCACGACCATAATCACAACCACAACGGTATTGCTCACCGTCTCCTCATAGTTCACATCTATGTGGCCGCAAAGGGTATACTAATATTTTGTTCGGTATGACAAAAAAATTGAATGATGAAAAGTTAGAAGGATATATAAAATATCATATTTTGTAAAAAAAAAAATAGATGGATTAACATTTTTTCCCGCTAACCAAAATATATCCCTCCAAAAATGAGAGCAAGAGTGGATGAAAATTTAATTACGTGTGTTAAAATGTCAAGTTATTTACCTTTATATCCTTTAATATATGCATATATTTTATTTATCTGTTACATATTAACTTTATATGTAGATAGGATGGTAAAATATACATTTATATTTTTTTTATCCTTCAACTTTTTCATTCTATCGAACACAAAAAAAGTCAATTATTCTTAATTTTCATTCCTCCTACCAAACACAAATGAGAAAAGGAATGATTCATCCCTTAAAAGATAAAAAATATATCACTCTCAATTTATATATATATATATTTTCTATGTTTTCATACTAGCATAGTTGACCCTTGTATAGCTTCGATCGATTCAAATAGATTGTGTGTGAAGGCAGGAGGCATGTGCGACAACCATCCCTAGTTGTATATATTTTTAACATAAGCCACATTTATTTATTTATTTAGCTCAAGTCAGCACAACATTGTGGGCTCATAATAACTCATACGTTGTCCAATGTGTATGGTTAAGATAGACGATTTATTTGATTTAATATAAGAATTTAGACATGGGGAAATGTTTCGATGGTTGCCTTGCAGAAGGTTTGCTCTTAAATAAACTAGAGAAACCTAATGAAAGAGACTAACTGTACGTGGGTGCCCACCACCATCAGTGTTAGTATTAGTATTAGTATTAATATTTATAAAAGAGCATGCCTGAGGCCAGTTGAGCATGTTCCCTCTGTGGACAGAACTAAACCCATCGTGCAATGTGTAGGGAATGGATCGGGAAGCTCACTACTTTTAATTCCCATAAGTTTATTTCTCCAAGACATACAAACACCTATTAAAAATTGTTGTATACATTTGACTTCATAAACTCACTTGGTCACTAATGCATACATACAATTTGTTTTTCCTAATTAGCAAAGAATTTAGTCAGGAAACAAGATTTAGACGATTGCACATGAACTTAACCCACCCCATTTCTTAATTTTTAATTTGCAGCAATTATCCGATGGATGTGCCGAGAAATGTTTGCTATGAAACCAATGAATGGTCAAGATGAGATGTTATGCTTACATAAGATATACTTCTTCCCACATGGAGCCAGCAAGCAAGGCTCCAAAAGCATTGACAAGGTGATTTATAGTCTAGTTAAAAGTAGCACTATAATTACATAAACTCGATATTAATGTAGGCGTTAAGCAGGTGGATAGCCAATCTAACCCCCATCCCGTAGACTTGATGGCTGGACGGAAGTTTGTTGGATGGTTGAAATTGAAAACTTTTCAACTAAACGTTTGAATTAATGTAAATCTTGACCATAATCTACCAATTAAGAATTAGTTAGTAAACAAAAAAATATAGCCTCGTCAGAAAAGGAGGGATCACTAAGGAGAGATCATTATCATTAATCGAATCCCCCCCTAACATTAATATCCAATATTTAGTAGATGTTGCTCATATTCTCCCAGTTCGGGTTCATAAGTGAATCAGATATTTTTAATTCTTGTTGGGACCCTATTTGTTTACTGTCTGTATTTACCATTGCAGATCATCATACTAATGGCTCTCAAATTAAAATCCGAATGTAATCTAAAAATTAGATAAATCTTTGACTGACAATTTATTCCATTGCCATCTTGAGCGTACATGGTGGGCTTGCAAAATATTATTGGGTTTCTGAAAAAATGGGAATTGTGACTGAAATTCCAATAATCCAATGAGCAGAGAGAGAGACTCAGAAAATGGATGTCTGAGTCATTTGAAGCAGACTCCTCAGTCCCGCGTTAAAACTTGGTAGTGGAGAGTGCCAGTGAAGTGGCTGGCTTCCAAACTGGACTCGGTCCTGCCATTTGAAACGGCAAAAACTTTTACCAAAAAAAAAAAAGAAAAAGCTCCAGCTTTCTTTTTTATAATTGCGTTTTTACCGGTTCTTTCACTTAGCCCCCATCTCTCTCTCTCTCTCTTAAAAATATTTATCAGATCTCATTATTCTCTGATATCTTCAGTCCCACCCCAAGAAAATTCTACAGCCTATAAAACTCCTAAAGATGTGCCATGACCAATAGTGGGGCGGCACTGTGAGACATATTGCCAATGCACTTGCACAGTCGATCCTTGGTGGTATGCACAGCTCTGGTCCGGTCCTACCAGGTGGTTCCGTGAAAGATTCCCACGCGCATTTCATGGCCCGTCAAACTCCTATTTTTCTATCTCTAATCTACTTCCCACCTCTGACTTGAATATATTTCTTCCTTTTATATATAGAACCAAACCACCCTTCTAATCCCCCCCTTCTCTCTCTCCATTTTTCCTGATATTCTGTGTGGATATATGATTTGGGTTTTTGATTAGGGGGTTATAGAGTTAAGATCTCCAAAAACATGGCGACTATAACATCGTTGGAGAGATCTCTTCAGAACTGTTCGTTAAACCACCAACAAAGCAGTAGTAGCAGCAGTAGCAGCGTAGGGATTGGAAGCTCATCAACCGCGGGGAATCAGCATGATGATCTCTCTTACTCAGCCGACAACACATTGGAACTCAATTCCCAGATCTCACTTCCTTACCACTGGGAACAATGCCTCGATTTAAAGGTTCGTACTCACTCAAGTACCACTGAATGGAACTGTCATATCCTCTTTCTCCTTCAGACTTCATTTAATACACAAGCTCTATAGATCCGGCACTATTTTTTCCTTGTTTCTTTCACAAATCTGCCTTCTTCTTGATGGCCGCTATTTATTGTCTCCCTGCTTTTCCCGTTTCACCCACAAGGAAAGAAAAAAGATTAAAGACGAAACCCTAAAAAGGGCACAAGGTTTTCTTTTTCTTTTTTTTTTTTTTGTGATGTAGTTTTTCTCTTTTTAGTTTCACCATTAACTACTTTCTTTTCTTGTTAAAGTTATTTTGTTTTCCCTCATGCTGGTAGTATATTGCTGGTTTATTAATCCACTTTCCCGATTTTATTTTCCGATTTTATAGTTTTCTTTTGTATAATTGAAGGGTGTACGTTTATATGTTGCAGACGGGGGAGATATATTACCTAAACCGGAGCACAGGGATGAAAGCGAAAGAGGATCCAAGGACAACTGCCGAGTCCAGTGGAGATATCTACAGCGAAGGTGATAGCTCGTATGACAGTGAAGGGTCTTCGTCGGAGTCATCTCCTTCATCATCAAGAGAACCAATTAATCATCGGAGAAATGATAAAAAAGGTCATGTACTCGTCGTGGCTGGGTGCAAGAGATGTCTAATGTACTTCATGCTGCCCAAACAGGTGGAGGATTGCCCCAAATGTTCTGGTCAACTTCTCCATTTTGATCGATCCGATAATAGCTTTCCATGAATGATTAATCACTTGCGTTTGATATGTGGATCTTTTCTTCTCCTTTCATTCTGAAATTCATTTATATTACAATCTAAACATCTCTATGCTTTAGAAGTTTTCAGTGTGGATTGCTGAAATAAGACCAAAGGCCATCTTTTGTAATCCTAACATTCTTCTTTATGTCGTTAGTTTTTTCCCTGGGTTTTTTTTTCCCTCCTTTTTCCTATCAAATTTGTGTTTTGAGACAACATTAATGAAGTTTTAGAGAGAGATGAGTTCTCAACCTAGCGGTAGGAGCAAGGTCAAACACAACACGGTAGGAGAAAAAAAAAAATTCCAGAATGGTTTCGACATGTTGCTATTGATTCGATTAATGTCCATGACTTATGATTGATAATAAGGTTCTCTCTTTTTAATGTGAAAAATTAATTTTGTTTGTCTTTGACAAAACTCAGTGATCAACCTTCCCAAATGCAGCCTGAACTGGTTTGATTTCTGTCAGGTATTAGACAAAACTATATCTCTTCAATTTCCCAATTAGTCAACCCCCCCCCCCCCAAAAAAAAAAAAAAAAACCTTAATTATCAGCACAATTGCCCTCCATGATAAAATAAAACCCAGAAATTAAGGATTGGTTTAACCATGGGGCTGGGTGTAGAGCCAATGGCCAATTGAAGAATAAAACCCTCAGTCATGACTGTCAGCAGAACAGATTGTATATACTTTCTCCGATTAAGGAGAATTATGCACTCCACGAAATAATATAGGAGTTGTCCCTAGACTTAAAGGAAGGAAAAACAAAAAATGCCCCTATGACCGGTTCTAGTGAAAGCAATGAAAATATAGATGTTATATTTGTGTCTATCTTATTCAGATTTGGCCATATCTTACCGGTAGGACATCCAACTTGTAAGATAATAAGACATTCAGGTGAAGGTTTTTGTTTTACAAGTGGGGGTTGGTTGGATGGATTTTGTCAGTCATTTGTTTATCTCTTCACTTAAAAATGGAGTGGTAAACTGCTAATGGAGTAGATGAAGGGGCAAATATTTAGGTATATGCATAAGCCCAACCTAAAAGATAATACTTTCCTCATTTTATAAAGTGATGGGTGGCTAGAACCAACGTATCACCTTCATACAATCTTTCTTTATGGTAATAAAAAATTTTACATTTCTTTCATTCGTCAGTTTGTTCTAAATTCCTCATCATCTTGTTCTAAAGTCAATAAGGGATAAAGCATTAGAATATTGTTGGTGTAACATCATCTCGCATCATTTCATGGTTGATTTGTGTGCTATGTTGCCATTCGACAAAATAGGGCGTTTGTCATATGGTATTGTATTGCTTGTATTAGTTAAAGGATTATAAAAAAGTTGGTTAACTACCATTTTCAAACTATTAGGTGCTTCCACAATTCATTTGGCCGTTCATCAAAGAGGACTGGTTCACTTAAATAAGGAAATTATTATTTGAACTTAACTTAGGGCTTAATCATTTATAATTATTAGGCTAAAAATGAGCTTTATCTAATATTAAAAATCACAACTAATCCAATATATATATTGAATTTGGGCTCTGATTAGATTCTAAATTAGGTTCTCATAAGACCATCTTCAATGGAGACTCAAACTCTTATCCAAATTTGAATAAAAAAAATGGTAAAAAGTTTGATTTGGTATATGTCTCTTCAATGGAGAAACTTAAATTTAAAGAAGCAGAAACCTTTTCTTAAATGAAAACAAATCTAAATTTAAAAGAGAGTAAATATGATCATTGAATCTTTAAAGGATGATATAATTTCATCATTGGTAAAAAGTGTAAGGATTTAAGTTTATTTTAATTTGAGTTTATAAAAGAGTTTCCTTTTATTTGGTATAGGTATGAGTCTAGCACTGGAGAATATTTTTAAGTGTTTTTTACCCTTTTTTAAAAAAGAATATAAAAAAGGGTAAGGACCGGAGATGCTTGAACATTGCTCTTTAAATGATATTGAGAAAAATGTTCTTTCTTTTTTATCCACGGGGGAAAATCAATCATTGTAAAGCTTATCCCTAATCTTTTCCATGTCTACAAAAAATGTACATCTAATATGGTGCATAAGCAACGTTATTGGAACCTATTTATTGGCATAATTCACTATAATCTTTGAATTGACTATGGATCTTATCAAACATTAAAATTTAGTGTTGATCCAATAATTCTATTAAAAAAACATCATTAAATTAACAAATTAGATTGAAATAACATTTCTATGGTGCATTATATTAACTCCATATTATTCATATCATAGTGGGCTGGACGAAAGAGACCCCTTTGGGAGCCCATCAACCAATGGGTTTGGATTCTCTCCATTTATGATGTTATAAATTTTTATACAGTTTAATCGGTTATCATTAAATTTATGAGTTTTCATGAGTGTTAACGAAGATAATAGAAAGCCCTAGGTTAAATTTGATTGAAATTGGCAAAATTTAAAGTTGAGTTAAACCAAATCTAATAACCACATGCAATACTTAAGGTTTGTATACCATCTAACTCGTTGTGTGCCAAGTTGTAACTCTTTAGGTCAACACTAATAAAGTTGAAGGCATGCGATTGCGTATCCAAGTTATGTGACAACTGTCCTATAGCGAGTTTCTTTGCTGTAATTTTGGAGTTTCACTTGATCTAGTGTAATGACTACAAGAAAATAAAAGGGACCTACTTGTATATAATGAGTCCCATTTAAATGAATGATAGATGATATGCCAATAAAAAAAATAAAAAAAAAATATATATATATATATATATATATATTTGAGAGGATTTCGATACACGTTTAACAGTCCAACGAGTCTCACAGCATATGTTTTAATGTTCTATCTAAATGGTACATTGTCACCCATGTCAATTGGGAGAATCCAAGTTTAAATTCCCCTTCCCCTCACACTGTACATGAAAAAAAGGAGAAAAAAAAGTAAAATATTATTTTCTTTTTAAGTATGAATTCTCAAAAGACTAAGGGGGGAAAGGTTTTCTATATAATTGCTGATAATGTTAATTAGCATCCCATGTATTAGAAGTGTGTCCTTTAAGAAATAAGTCGAATACACTCACTTATAAAAATTGAAAAAAAAAATTGGTTGAATTGCAATTTATTTGGTGATTGTTATTTCCTTCTAATGTCATTTTGTAATATTTACGTATAAATATAAATAAATTTTGTGCATTATCATTAAACAAAAAAAAAAAGAATTGCTTCAACTATTTAACTGCTCCGTTAAATGACAATCTCATAATATTTTATTACCAATTATTATCTGTGCCTGAAGGTACAGAGTAATAAAAAAATGATAAATAATAAAAATATTTATATTCACACCTAAAATCAAATCATAAACATAAAAGAAAGAGAAAGTAATTTAACTACAATTGTAGTGAGAGTAAGTGGTGAGAGTGGTGGTGGAGTGGCAACAATGGCAAAGGTGGTGGTGGTAGAAATGGTGATGGTCATAGGGGGTGGTGGGGGGTGATGGTGGTGGGTTGGTATGGGTAGTGGTAGTAGGAGTGATGATAGAATATTGGCAATGGTGGTAGTGGTGGTGAGGTGACAGCAGTGGTGGTGGCGACGATGGTGATGGTAAGGGTAGTGGTGGTGGTTGTTGTGCAGGGGTGGTGATGGAGTGACAATAGCGGTGGTGGTGATAATGATGGGGCGATGAGGGTGGTGGTATGGTGGTTCTAGTAGTGATGGTGATGATTGTTATTGTGGCAGAGGGGTGGCGGCGGCGGTTGTAGTGGGACTATTCTGCAAACTATTTTTTTTTAAGTATTTTGCACGAGAAGTTATAAGTTTTAGAAACACTTTTAAAAAATTATCTTAAGCACATCCTTAAGGATTTGTTTTTTATATTAAATTTGGAGTCTTAATATTTACTATTGGATTAATTTTAAAGTAAAATTTAAAGTGATCTTAACTGTAAAAATAAAAGTTATTTTATTTATTTTTTAAAATTTAAATTGTATTATAATTTATTATATAGATGTAAGAAGTGCAAAGAGTGCAGGATAGTGGCTGTGGTAAAACTGAAACGAGCCCTTCACGCTTAGACCAAGTAAAATGCTACAGTGGTTGAATTGTATATAACCATTTGTTGTAAAAATAAAAGTTATTTTATTTATTTTTAAAATTTAAATTATATTATAATTTATTATATAGATGTAAAAAGTGCAGAGAGTGCAGGATAGTGGCTGTGGTAAAACTGAAACGAGCCCTTCACGCTTAGACCAAGTAAAATGCTACAGAGGTTGAATTGTATATAACCATTTGTTGTAAGAAAAGGAGAGCCTCCTTAGTCCTTCCCAAAAGATTCGATTTGCAGAGCAACAACTAAAAAGAAGGGAGAGAGAGAGAGAAAGAGAATGGATTAACTGGACCTGGAGGAAACAAAGCACCTTTCTTTACTTGCATGGCAGAGAGGAATCTAAGAGTACTGCAGAACACTATAGAAAGGGATAGATGAGGAGAGAATGAGACGACAGGTACCAATAGAGATGAAGAATGGTCTCTCTCTCTCTCTCTCTCGGTTGGTCAAAGACAAGGGGTTCGATACTTCGGAGAAGGGTAGGATCCATGGGTAGGATCCATTACCCTGTTCCGCTTTTTATCAATTGACCATTCAAACTGTTCTCAGTGGGGAATCTCTGTCTCATTTCTCTATTCATGCCCTTGTTTATTTCCTGCTTCGCGTCTTCCTAGCAATTATTATACGTCGACAGCACGTCGCTCAGACTTATAAAGCTGTGTTCCTACAATTTCATTGTACGTACTAACTCTGCTTCACTGTCTCTATATGTGACATTTACCCCATAATTCATTTGGTAGAATTGAGTGGTCAATATTTTGAAATTTCAAGTTAATGTTTTGCACTTTGATTGGAGTTGTTTATGGGTGATTACCTGTATTCTGAATTGACATGGCAGGTTCGAGCCTAAAGTATACTCTATTGAGTCCGTGTCCTACTATACACATGAGCAAAACAATTTTATGTCAGAATCTAAAGCTTCAAATTTATAGCAAGGGTATACCCAAAGATAGATTAAGGACACCATAAATGAATGAAAAGAAAAAACAGTCCGACTCACTTTATTTCACCAAAGTCATGACAGAAAGTTGGATAAATGGGCGACGGTTCTTCTCGCGCACATCTCTTTCCCAAGGGTTTTGTTTTTTTGATTGGATTTGAACCAAATATTGGATGTCCCACACAGATTTTGTTTTGTTGCAGAAATAATCTTTAAAAGATTTAATTTTCTTATGGAACATTTCC